CGAGGATTGTGTCCAGTCAGGTGTGTGTGCACTTGCTTTTATTTTGAAGTAAACAAACACAGTAAACAAATGTCGTGACATCTTCTTGCCACCTGTGTGCTCTTTGCTGCCGGTCTGGTCTGGTCTGGAGATCAGGTTCCTGCAGCAACTGGGCCAAAGAGAAATGGAAAGGTGACAGTGATCAGGATGACCGCTCCTCCAAATTTTCTGCCAGCACCAATGCAAAAGACGACGGTGGTCAAGGTACGGACTCAAGTTTTGATCCACATCACTCAAACTAGGTCTACACAGCTGGACCAAATGTTTGTCGACTTTACTCGACTCAGTAAAAACGCTGAGCCTGATTGAAACACAAGCCCGTCTGAGGATGTTGTTGTGTTATTCAGGTTGTTGGTGTTGCCCCCAAACCAGCTGTGACCCAGACTCTGGTGTCTGCTCAGGAGACTCAGGCTCCAGTCTCAGAAACCAAAAAGGAGCCTGCAGCCACCTTTACACCGGTGAGATGTGTGGTTAGCTGCATGCATATGCACCAATTAATAATAAAAAAATCAAAATATGTTGTTTACTCAAACACTCCATCAGGAAACTTTGGAAAGTGTCAAGAAATGCAAGAACTTCCTGGTTACTCTGATCAAACTGGCCTCCAGTGACCCCAGGTCCGCCAACATGGCCAACAATGTGAGGGGGCTGGTCAGAAGTCTGCTGGTTCGTCCATCCTCTGTTTCTTTAGACAACACAAAAACAACTTATATTTTTACTCCTTGAAAAGCATTCGTACTTCTAACTCCCAGGAAGGAAAGCTTGAGGCCGAGGAGTTCACAGAACAGCTCTACCAGGAGCTGAAGTCCACTCCGCAGCCGTGCTTGGTTCCTTTCCTCAAGGTGAAAAAAAAATCACGCCCCGAACATTTCATTGTGGTTCTGATGAAATCATTCAGTTTCTTTCAATTCTTTCTAGAAAAGTCTTCCTGCCGTGCGTCGTCTGACAGCAGACCCTCAGCTGTTCATCCAGCAGGCTTCAACCTCCACCTGGAGCTCCAGCTCCCAGGCAACCAGCAACGAAACAGTGCCAGACCCAAAGAGACCGGTACAATACAGAGATGCAGTGTAGAATGAACTGTAACTGTAACATTGGATTGGTTATCAATCATTATGACTCGGTGCTGATGCTTGACACTTCTTGACACCTGTGTCTTACGTAGGTTGTCCAACCAGCTGCCAAAGTGGTTCTGAAACCAGGGGTGACCTCAATAATCAACTCCAGAAACAGCGTCAAACCCACAGTGATTCAGCCCAAACACTTGACAGGTAACAGCACATGAGGGGGTCACCAGCATACACTCAGAGTTCACTTTTTTACTTCTGGCTCTTTACGTTGGCAAAATGTGAATGGCTGATGAATTCTGAAGAATTTTGACTTTTTATGTCCAACTCCTTTATAGGAGTTTTTTCCGTGAAGCAGTCTTTCACTCGGGACGTGACATGTTCTTCCAGATCTGCAGTCAAGTCCTCTTCAGGCTCCTACAAGTACTTTTTACTATCAAAGCCCACCTTCAAGATTCAGTTAGTATGTATCTCACAGGCTCTCTCTGTGTGTGTGGTACAGAGAAGATGACGACATTAATGATGTGGCCTTCATGGCTGGAGTCAACCTGAGGGAGGAGAACGCTCAGTTCCTCACCACCACGGTTGGCTCTGTGCTCCAGTCCTGCCAGGATCAGCCTTTCCTCTCCACTAACACTGTCCTCAGTCGGATCCTTCGCACAGGTGAAGCAGCATCGCTTCGACCTGGCTCAGCTTTATACGACCTTTGACCTTTTAAGTTAGAGGCCTTTCCCCGGAGTTGACTTGTAGAGGCAACTGACGCTTAGTGTTAAAGTGCATCCAAGTGGAGACATCCTGTCAGGGTAAGCGTCTTGTTTTGTGTGCTTCAGGGCGCCCCCTGGGGGTGACGGACATCAGCGCAGAGGTGGTCACTCTGGTTTCTCATGCCACTCAAGAGTATCTGCGTGGACTTCTGGAGAAGGTCACTGTGATCGCAGAGCATCGTAAAACAGTCACGAAGGTACAGCGCCACCTGGGTACACAGTGCACGTTCACAATTATTACACACATTTGTTTATTTAAGTCACAACTGTTGGCTCTGAAAGCTGGACGTCAAAGTGCCAACAAGTGGCAGTGGTGAAGATCAAGTTGAAATCATTCTTTGGTGTCTTTTGTCGTCTCTGTTGGTCAGAGTGAATGAAGTGACCAAGAGCCAACGTAGAACCTGAGGAACAGACTCACATTATATTTGTAATGTTCTCTTTGTAAGTCCAACAAGTCAGAGGAAGGATTCATTATCTTCAATTCAAAACAAGTATGGTGTTGTCATGTCATGGAGATAGAGAGTACGTATGTGTGTGTGTGTGTGTGTGTTGGCAGGAGGATCAGTCGTACTCCAAAGTGAGCGATGTTCGCTCTCAACTCCGTTTTCTGGAGGAAGTGGAGGCGTTAAACAAGAAGAAGAGCGACGAAGCAGAGAGAGAGAAACTGCTGCGTTTGGCCAGAGTAAGAAGACACACACACACACACACATACACACACACACACTCTTCTTTGATTCTAATCCCGCAAATGAACAAATGGTTTCTGTACCAACAATTACTGTGAACACAGCTGTGTTTTTAAGAACTGATCCACAACACGTTGTTTTAATTTCCTTCTAAAGCTCTGTCTTTCTTGTTGTTCTCACAGAGTCGCTCACATCCAGAGGATCCACAGTTTCAGCTTCTAAAACAAAAAGCCAAAGAGGTGTTTATTTATTATTTATTGAGTTCATGAAGAAACGTCATAAACCTTAAACATTTATGGTACCATCACTAGTTTGGGCTTATGATTCCAATAAAAGATGACAGTTAAGATTGTGATCTGATATCATCAAATACTATGATACAACAGCCAAGTACACAACCAGTCCACATCAGGTATACTGTATGTGTGGACTGGATTTGTTCTGAACCATCTTCTTGGTAACTTAACAGTGCATTAATTTTCAGCTACAACAAATAGAAGAGGCTCAGCTGCAGCAAAGAGAAGCCAACATCACGGCTCTGGCTGCCATTGGGCCTCGGAGGAAGAGACCAGTGGAGCAGAGTGAAGGCCAGGTCAGTGCCAGCACTCACTCAGCCTAAAACTCTCAAAAAAAAGTCTCAGCTCCAGTCCAGTCAGAATAACTGCAAAATACATACATTACAGAAAGTGCTGGAGTGGGGAAAAGTTCAACAGTGTTCCATGTGTTTTCCTCAACAGTTCAACAGTGTTCCATGTGTTTTCCTCTGCAAAGAACAAGCAAAACATGTTTTAAACCTGAGAAACAAACTTTTTTTTTCTTATTTGCATCAAATTTTGTCAAACTGGCAACCATCTGAGTCGGGCTCAAATATTTAATATAATATTTCAACACTATTGTTGTTAGAGGTGCAGCGAAAATCCACATTTTAAAGCAAAGACTGAACACAGCAGGAGACATGAACAACTGTTCTGTCACTGCAGCTCAGACTATGGGTTTAAAGCCCTTCGCTGCCTTTGAACTGTGATGTCCCAGTAGAGCAGACTCTGTTTCCTCTCACAGCCAGGGGGCGCCTTTTATCTGAACTAACTGTGATGATGGAAACTGACAGCAGATGGGTTTTTTTTCATACATTTCCACTGAAACAAAAGTGAATGAAAATGTGTGTGTGTGTGTCTGTGTTAGGTGTGTGTGCTGCCCAGACAGGATGTTTCCAGGGTGACCCGGGTGGTGCTGAGGGACCTGTTGGTCTGCATGGAGCAGGAGAACTTCCTCCGTCACTCTCTGACTCTGTACAAAGCCATGCTTTAAGTTTAACTTAAAATAATTTGTTTTCCCTAAAATTTGAGGACTTTATTTTTGGCACTTCACTTTTGCCACCTCCTGCGTTTGATGAGCTGTCTTTATTTATGTTGTTGTGACAAAGTTTGTAATCAGCTGGTCACTGAAAAAAGTATTTACATGTCAAGTTTCAGTTTGTGTTTTTGAAGAAGTGATGAACTTTTGGTTGAGTTTTTTTCACCATAATATTTTGGGTTTTGTCTTGCATTAAAACAAAACTGTCGAATCATCACATCACAGTTTCTGTTGTTTTGTTTTTTTTGCAATATTAATCCTAATAGTGGGGCATTTAAAAATCAAAATTCTACATTTCAGTTCAGTCACTGGTTGTCAACACATCCTCGTTAATACAATGTAACGGAATCAAATCTGGACTCAATGGAGGCTAAAGGCTTAAAAAAAAAAAAAATCACAAAACAGACAACAAAAGGCCCCAAATAACCAAATAATAATTTCCTTTCTTTAATGTTCCTCCAGATGATGCAAATATTACAAAAACAGCAACAGTTCATGCACAGGAGGCCCAAACCTCCAGACCATTGAACCGTACAATACTTACACAACAGTATATTTTACAAACAGTAAAACAGATGACAGTACGACTGTTGTCACAGCCTGGAGAAACACAGGCGTTCAGATCCACAGCTGTAGTGATGAGTCGGAACAAGAGTTTTAAACGTTTTTACTGCAGCGACAAGTCTTTGAACTGGAATAAAAGGCCACAGGTCTTTGTCTGTGTAAATTACCCAGATGACACAAAGGGCTTAATTCAGAAATGTTTAAAAAGTGTTGTATTGTTTGTATTACTGTTTGACTATTCAACATAGTCACAAATTAAACAAAGGCTAAAAGCATAATTTTTTAAAAACCTTTTTTAAAATAGTTGATTCTCAAGTGTTGGATCACAACCCAAAAGTGGGTCTTTGGATTTGATTAAAATTGTATAATTTAACATGATGTTCAACATAGATGTGAGGATAAAGGAGGTGTCGGAAGACAGGTTCAAGATCCGAGGATATCACAGAAGTGTTTTATTTCATCGTGGAAGAAGTATACTGTGATGTCTTATCACAGGTTCAAATTGCATGGTCTTTCCATTCAATGAATCTGAGACATTTGAAGCGCTTCCTGATTTGAGTGGCAGCTTGTGATGGTGGCTCCTGAAGTGAGAACGGGTCTAAATGACGTTATTTTCCAACAGTTCGTTCTATTTTCACGGGTCTAAATGAAGTTATTTTCCAACAGTTCGTTCTATTTTTACTCCAACAAACAAATGCCACCATCCGAAATGGAATGCAGCAACATGGAATGATATAGTGTGAAACCAAAAAGACTATATATATACATATATATATATGAACATAACAGTGGAACCTCCGTTTTCAAACTTAATTTGTTCCTGAAGGCCGTTCATGAACCGAAAGTTTCGAAAACTGAAACAATTTTCCCCACTGGAATCAATGTAAAATGGATTAGTCCGTTCTTGGGCCCCGGATGACTGCTGATTCAACCTTTTTCAACAGTATTTTGTGTACGGGTTCATAAACGACACCTATAAAAATAATTAGATCTAACAAAAAAGATAAATACAACTGAACAAAGCTATAAATGAGATAGCTGAGGAGTAGTGATGGCACAAGGAGATGTTATAATTAAGAAATTCAGGAGTATTTTCTCATCTCCTGGATTTTCTGTTTGTTGTGAGCAGATTCTGCCTGGAACTCAATAGTCCTCTTCTTTTACTAAAACCCTTTGTATTGAACCTTGCTTTTGCCTCTGTTTCACAATGTCACGGAAGTGAGACATAGCAATGTCATTGAAAAGGTTACTGACACGGCTTGCTACTGCCTTATCAGGGTGATACATTTCAACAAAATTTTTCACTTCACCCCATTTCGCACACATTTCTTTAATAAAAGCACAAGGCACATCCTCCCTTCCCTCCTCTTCCTCCGAAGACATCTCCTGAAGCACCCTCTTCTGCTGCTCCTTCTGAAGGAGTTTGAGTTCTTCAGTAGACAACTCAGTGCTGTGCTCCTCCACTAGCTCTTCGATGTCATCATCACTGACTTCCAGGCCCATGATTTTGCCCAGAGACACAATGTCATTGACAACTTCATTAGTTTGTGTCTCAAATCCCTCAAAATCTCTCTCTACAACACAGTCAGGCCAAAGGTTTGTCCAGGCTGAGTTCAAGGTCCTGCAGGTCAGTTGCTGCCAGGCGTTGTCAATAAGACATAAGCAATGCAGAATATTGAAGTGGTTCCTCCAAAAATCACGAAGAGTTAACTGTGTGTCAGAAGTAACCTCGAAGCACCTTTGAAAAAGTGCTCTGGTATATAACTTCTTAAAGTTTGAAATGATCTGTTGGTCCATCGGCTGAATCAGTGGAGTCGTATTAGGAGGCAGAAACTTCACGGTGATGAAGTGGAACTCTTCCGGTAACTCGGCCGCCATGTCTGGGGGATGTGCTGGGGCACTGTCCATCAACAGCAGGCACTTCATTGGCAAATTATTTTCATTGAGGTAATTCCTCACACAAGGAGCGAAAACTTTAGTGATCCATTCCAGGAAAAACTGTCTGGTCACCCAGGCCTTACTGTTAGCCCTCCACATGACGGGCAGCCTGCTTTTCATAACATTGTTTTTCTTAAACACACGGGGGTTCTCTGAATGATACACGAGCATTGGCTTCACCTTAAAATCACCGCTGGCATTGCCACAAAGCAAGAGAGTTAGCCTGTCCTTCATGGGCTTGTGTCCAGGCAAAGCCTTTTCCTCCTGGGTTATGTATGTTCTTTTGGGCATTTTCTTCCAAAAAAGCCCAGTTTCATCACAATTAAACACTTGCTGGGGGATAAAAGCGTTGGCACTTACAAACGCACAGAACTCTTTCACAAACTCTTCCGCCTCTTTTTTGTTAGCACCTGCGGCATCTCTATGATGAACCACACTGCGTATGCCACTTCGCCTTTTAAACTTTTCAAACCAGCCTCGACTAGCCTTAAACCCATCAGACTCATCAGAACTTGTGCCTGGGGTTTTGTTGAGCAAATCCTGATGCAAATGCTTCGCTTTCTTACAAATGATCGTCTCCGAAATACTGTCGCCGGCCAACTGCTTTTCGTTGATCCAAATCAGTAGCAACTTTTCCACTTCTTCTAATGTCTGAGATCTTTGCTTGGTGATCACGTTCACTCCTTTGGCAAGCCTAGCTTTTTTTATTGCTTCCTTGTTCTTAAGAATGGTACAAATCGACGACTTCGCTAAACCATACTGTAAAGCCAGATCTGAAACACGAGCGCCGTTCTCATGCTTTCGTATAATCTCTTTCTTCACTTCTATTGCTGTTCTCACTATTTTTCTTTTCGCCTTTCCACTTTCACAAGCTTTTTTAGGTCCCATGGTGATTTATGGAATAATGATAAAAAAGAAATAGCACAGCGCAAGAAATACCGACAAAATCAGACAACAGTTCTTAGCATGTATATCTCGAGCGCAGGTTGAGGCAAGACTGACGCCACACGCTCAGTCAGCCAGTGATCACTTGCTGTGTGCGTGGTATTGTTGGTATTTTTCGCGGAAAGGAGCACGTTCAACAACTGAGGTTCCACCGTATATATATATATTTATATATATATACTGTAAATAGATAAGTCGTGAAGAAGTCAGTTTCGTCTGTGTTAGCTTCCTCCAGCTTCAGTCTGTGAGTTCCTGTTTGACTTGTACCAGATTGAAGGGCTGTTGACCGTCTCTGCTCTCCCTACGTAGAATGAATTCACTGAACTGAGAAGAATCCACTCCACTGCCACATGAAGCTGTGATGCAGAAGCCTCTGTGCTGAAAACGCTCCAACACCTGCAGTAAACACAGAGCAGAGTCAGAGCTGCTGGTTCACTGCTGCCCCAGAGTCCCAGTTTGTCCTACTAACTTCATCTGAGCAGCCATTGTAGATTCACATAATCACTAAATAACACCATTGAAACAGCCGATTAATTAATGCAGCGGTCGATTAAAACACGTGAGTGCAGGGTTATAAAAAGTCACATTTTCCCTATGGACTTGGTGCAAGATGTCGACTGCTTTGTTGTGTTTGCGATGTTGTTGACTCTTTTATTTTCTGTATTTTGAGAACCATCATTTAAATCCATAAGACGTCTGTGACTAGTGGTTTTGGTTGTTTTTTTATTCTATATTTTCACTTTTCTAAGTATTTTTGTTTCTGCCCTACTGATTTCGCCTGCTGTCAGTGTACACTTTTTATTCGTGATTGTAGTTTAAACTGCTGGTATTTCCTACCTGAACAGAGTTGAGGTGGCAATGGTCGTTCAGAGGGAAGTAAAGAACCTGTGTGGACCCGTGGTTACAGCCAGCGCCTAGGGATTTTGCCACAACCTCTTTGACCTCCGGAAAAGCCTCCTCAATGACGGCCCTTTGGGCGCTCACACTGATTCTCTCTCCCAGTTCGGGAACAACACGGACCACCACGCACTCACACTCCCGACATGCGCTCCTGCGTTCTTGCTCCGCCCTCCACTGTTCCAGCTGCTCCTGCAGCGTGGTCAGTTGGTAGAAAGTGGCCTCTTCAAGAAGCAGGGAAAATTCCTGTAAACAGTGATCACAGCCAGGACGAGTGAGGTCAGATTCTAGGGTCTGTAGTTCTGGTTTTTTTGTTTCAGTTACAAACACACTCACTTTGAAGTCGTCTGGGATTAGGAGTTTCGATGTGCGCAAGAAGTTGAGGATGTAGCGAAACATATGACCATCGCGATCTATGAAGTAGTGCTGCTTCAGACTGTCCAGAACAATGGGCTCACTTCCATCAAACAGACGGCCGATCCTGACCAAAGCAGGACAGAAACCAACGTCAGATGTACAGACAGTGACAGACTTGGTAAAAGACATAGCCATCTCATGGGCCAAATGCAGAACACGGGCGGAGGAGACTGTAGTAATTCATTAGTCTCACCTTGACTCGGAGTACTTGGTCAGAGTAGCGAGGCTGCTCGTGTACATGTGTCCTCCTACATCGATGTGTACAGGGGCGTTTGTTTTTGTGAGTTGTGCGGGAGTGGGGATGCCGGCAGAACCCAGAGGTTTGACCACATGCACAGTGTCCAGCTGCTGAGTCGTCACATTATTGTTGCTAACACTGCCCGCTGAGTTGTCCTGGAAAACCACATAAAATTAAATAAGTGATGGTTCGGATGGCGGGCATCCACCTGCAGGGGGCATGGAGCCCATTGGATGTCGAGAGAGGAGGGAGAGAGGTGTTAGGTTTGACAACTTTGTATCCATAAAAACTTCAAGACATTTCTAGGCCAATTCTTAGGTATCCTGACATTATGAACTCTTCTATTAACTGTGGGACATTCAGACATTTTCCCATTTCTCTGATTGTTTATATCTCCGCCTTCTCCAACGTTAGTTAACTTTTGGTTCATTTTGATTGACTATTTGACTTGCCTGACGTAATTAGAATTACGTACCGTGGTCAGATGATCTCCGGTCTGTACGACACATTCAGTTTTTATCAACAAGCCCTCGTTCGTCTGCTTTTCATCGTCATGAAGCTGCTGGATTTTACTGGTAATTGTCCTTTTGCACGGCAGTTCGTAAGAAGGGTCGGACAAGGCTATCTGTAGAGCATTTTCCAGCCCTTTATCCTGCAGCAACGAGAGCGGTCTACAGTCCACTGCAATCCATTTCGCCAGAGAGTTGGTTAATTTGTCAGCCGTAGACTTGCACGTCAGCTCGGTCTTCTGGTTTATTGTTGTCTGATTACGGCGTTTGCGTTTATCACGAGGGCCACAACTAACGTTAGCTCCGGCGTCCGTGCTCGCAGCAGCGTGTTTTGCATTGAGGTGATACCGCAGACTTGAATTACTGCGGTGATAAGAGAACTCTTTGTGGCAGAATGTACACACAACCACGCTCTTACACAAGCTACCATCGGGAAGTTTTTTAAAAACAAATTTACCGCCTAACAAGGTACGCAAAGACTGCTTGTCTCCCATCACTGTTTACCTAACTTGCTCTCCATTCTTCTTCTACGGACTCTCTACACTTATCAGTGCATGTTTCTTACAGCCAGGAACTTCAAGTGTATTATCGCCATCTATCGGGCTGGAGGGCGTTCATCAATGTCACCCACCTGTTACCAGTGTGTTTAATTTCCTAATCGAGCTCTAATTAAAACCAAGAGTTATGTGATGTTCAACTTCTAGTTATTCTATTTCTGACATTGTAAAAAAAAAAAAAAATCCAACATTTTTGGCACATCCGTCTTTTAGGGCTGTTCACAGGGAATATTTTATATTTTAATAGCATGTATTAGGAAGTTCTGTCTCATTTGGACTATAAGTAAATAATTTAATTAAGTTATAAGTAAGTTTAATTATTATTACTAAATTTCACCAGTATGTTTTTTTTTTATTTCTTAGATAACCTTTTGCTACTTTAGCTTTTTTGGCCTTTTTAGGGAACCATACTGGGTTTTTTTTTATTTTAGCAAAAAAAAACAAAAAACTTTTAATACACATTTATTATTATTACAATTATTCACGATTATCTGCTAGCTAAAATCTAGAATTCCACATTACTTTCAATGGTCAGGATTCTGTTTTAAACGAATGTGATTAATTCATTAGTTCTGTCTAAATTCAAGGGAACATTAAAACCTGATGTTATGAGAGCTTTAAGATCAAGTTCTGTCAGTTCTAATTATTTCTTCAGTTCCAAACCCTAACATAAGGTTTTTTATTCCTTCCTTTCCAAACTCCCCTCATCACAGTCCCTCAGGCGGGGGAGTCGGTCTGACCGTACTCTGACATGCTGTGAACTCGCTGCCAGGCTGTAGCCCACGAGCTAAACACTGAGAAGTGCTGATGCAGCCTGAGGACTGGCAGCTAATGCCAGAGGCCAGACAGGTGGAGCTGAGAAATACAAGGAGAGCCTGTCAGGCACACAGATATGACTTTGCTCTGTCAGAACAACAGCCATTCAAGGTAGCCTTGTAAAGAAATGTGGAAAAATATCCGTTAACTGACAAAGGAAAAGCATTCGTTCTCACACAGAAACAGGGTCTGGATGCTCAGATCTCCTCCACACTGCTACTGTCAAACATGAATCCTTCTTGATGTTTTTTTGTGTCCTAAATGTAGGAACTAAAGCCATGATATTTTTCAGAAAGAACAATTCTGTAATGCGGTTTGAACTGATGTGCTGGTAACAACAGGAGAAAGATCTAGACTGCAGGAAGGCCAGGCAAAAACATAAACACGCCAGCTTTATGTATACGCAAATTAAATCAGTTTTCTGTTTTCAGAATCCAAGTCCATACAAACCTGAACTCAACAGACTGAATACATTTCCACTGTCACATCCCATTAGCTAAAGCGAAAACTAAACTAAATTTCCACTTCTGCAATAAAGCTCTATTTACTCACTCTGCCCAGCACATCCCATATTTGCCATTTTGTATCTTGAAAAATTAAATAATAACATGGTAATGATAAAATCTCAATGTGCAGGAAGAACATCAAAAACATCAAAGATTGAGATACTGACAATTAAAATGTTGAAGAAACGTTCTGAAGTTAAAGGATTGAATTTTTAATTATTTTAGACCATCTGCAGATATGAACTTATGGCTATGTTTTTTTTTTCCAGGATATGTTTTTGTGTTTTTATCTAATTTTCTATAATTGTTTAAGTAGTTTTACCATTCTGTATTTGTATATATTGTAGTCATTAAACTGCGCCAAGCCTTTCACTAATGTTGGCATTAATTTTGAGTCGGGGTCATCATCTGACCCCCACTGCCCCCAACGCCGTCTGACGTGTCACCTGTATGATCACTGTGGCCGGAATCTGAACAGCAGACTGGGAGTGGACGCTGGACTCTGTGGATCTCTCCGGCGCAGACCCGTTCTTCTGCTCCACGGTCGATTGCGGTGCGCGTTTCCCAGGACGCACGCACAGTCGTTTGGACGGAGATGGCTCCAGGTCTTCTTCAGTACATACTGCTGCTGACGTCACTGCTGCTGCTACCTTCATCTGCTTCAGGTCCACGGAGTCCGGGACGCGGCGCAGATAGGGATCCGCCGCGCTCTCGGACCTGGACGCACCTGCGCCAACGATGCTGTTGAGCGTCGCTATGGAAACAGCGCCGATGCAGTGATTGGTGTAGGTTTTGGAGAGTTTGGCGGCCCGGGACAACATCTGCATCCTGGTACCGAGCAGGTTTTTACCGATGGCCTTGTTCTCGAACCAGGTCGCGTCGTTGGCACAGCAGTGGTCCCGGGGCCGCTGGAAGAACGCGCGGCACATCGGATTCCGCTTGGACACGTACCGGACAAAGCTGGCGTAGGGACACAGCTCCGTGCCGGCTTCGTACATGCGCGGCAGCGTGTCCTCGTCACAGTCCGGTCGCCTCTTGGTCCAGGCTGCAGAGCGGGATTTGTGGTACGGTCCAAGTGCTTTGAAATACACAAACTTCCTGCCGTCTTCATCCGCAGCCAGACCGAAGGAGTCCTCCTCCAGCTCGCGCTGGTTCTCCCGACCCCTGGTGCAAAAATACATACAGATTTCGAACCAGACTTTATTGAGAAGTCCAAACGGTGTGTCAGGGTTGAACGCGGACGAGTCGTAAAGTCTCCGCAGGTCCGAACGCGTGATGGCTTGTTTCTGAACCACGGGACCGGCGCCCTGCTCCTCTAGTCTCCGTATGACTGCAGCCAGGGCCAGGTTTGCGCTGCGAAGCTCCGGGTCCTTGGTGAGATCCAAGGTGCGACAGTAAGGCGGTTCGTTCAGGTACCGGTTCAGTGAGCTCCTGATGCTGATGAGGGACGACTTGCTGTACAACTGTCCACTTTTGGAGCGCGCCTCCGCGTAAAAAGAGCGCAGCAGCGCGCACAGCGAGTCCTTGTCCAGAGTTTCAAAGTCTGGACTTTGGTCCTTCTCACTCAGGTACTCCCTGAAAATCCGCACCGCATAGCGGGTGGCCAGGCGGGTGTTCTCACTCAGCCTGTTCCTATCTGACCGCTGCAGGTCTTCATCCAGGTGACAGCCACTAAAAATATCTTCCTCCTCCTCCTCCTCCTCTAGGTCCATATGCCGCATAACGACCGTCGCGTCAGAACCGCTGCACTCCAGCAGCACTGAGCTCCCTGTCTCCCACTCCAGTTCCACCGCATCCCCCTCAGACACCTCTTCATTCCCGGTAATCTGGACCTCCTGGATCTCATCCTCTTCATCTTCCTCCTCCTCCTCATCCTCGTCCAGCTCCTGTCTGCTCCTCTCTGAGCAGCTCAGCCGCTCCTGCTCTGCGTCTCTGCTGGCAGGCATTCTCGCCATATTGCGGTCTGTGAAGCAGTCCTCCGGCAGTGCGCATGCGCTATATTGGACCGCAGCACGGAAAGCCTTTTGTGTTTTTAGTGACCTTCAGCCGTGAACGCGCTTCTTGAGGTACAAAGAGCGAGCGGAGAGAGGAGAGTCAGAGTCTCTGGTCTGAAGGGCTGCAGTATTGGACTAGATATGGGACCAGCAGCCTCGGGGTGGGGGGTGGGGGCTAGGAACCAGAGACACACATACACATCAACATTATTTTTTATATAATTTATAACCTGCCATCATAGTGATGGTGGTTCTCAACATGTTGTACCTGTGTACCAACTAGTAGGATATTTGTCTCTCCAAGTACCAGCAGTAGAACCTACATTATGGTTAGGCACAGGCCTACTGTGACAACATCGATTGCTTCAAATCTTCCCCTGAACCTCCCTCACCCACCCTCCCCAGACAGAGCCCCTCCAACTTTCAGGACCACTCAGCTAAGGACAGTACCTGAACAGAATTTATAATGGTATTTGACTGTTTTTCAGCCAAAAAAAACCTCTAAAGCCAGGTACGAGCAGTGGTTTGTATACCATAGTTTGAGAACCACCATACTAGAAAACACATTTGGACCAACTTTCTTTATTTTCCGCATACTGATGAGCACGTATTGTACCATTTTTTAAACATTCTATTAATTTTAGGGAAACATTTAATTACTCTTACTTTATGAGAGGTGTTAAAAAAACATTTCCCATAGTTGATGTCAGTGTGAAGACTTAAAGACCAGGAATGTATTTGTCCATGAGAGATGACAGGGTGGACATTGTCCTTGTTTCTTCTACCTTTAGTCCCACTAAGTCCTGGGGACGTCCCAGGACAGAACAGGCTTAATTAGCAGAACCGTTGTCTTTCTGTCCACTGGTGTGATGCTGCTGACCCAGCAGTCCTTCAGTGACAATGTTCTACCACAACCCTGTCACAGCAAGGCCTAACCTACAGTCCTGATATATGGAAGTCAGTGCTCCTGGTCTCACAGCGTTCGCTCCCTCATCTGACTTTATTGTTAGCAAATCACAATATTGACCATCTGTGTCCATGACACTGCTCTCTACGCAGCTGTATTCGCAGTTTCTTAATATAGTATCCCAGCATGCTTTACGTCTGGTCACATCTAATAGCACCGGTGCCTCCCCTGGGCAAATGTGACCTTGATAAATACTGTCTGCCCCCTCCCGCCCCTCCTTGTGCTTCTGCTGCAGTTTGTACTGACAAGCTTTAAAAAAAAAACAAATATTGAAGTACTGCACTGATGATAGTCACAGTGAGAAAGCCATAAGGACGTTAATGTTGTTTTAAGCAGAAAATTCGCTGCCAGGGACAAATGGACAACAGCATGCGGGCCACATGCGGAAGAGAGTATTTGTGTACTGTGGTGGTGTAGCAGTAGGCAGCAGGATTTGTTTGTGTTTGTCTAAGATGCATCACTTCAGAGACCTCTTCACTTCTGACTGACTGACAGACTGGCTGACTGGTGAAAACACCATGTATTCATCCCCTGTGGGCTTCATACCTGACAGAAGATTTAATCAATACTGTTGTCCACCTTTTGACCCACTTTCCACAGTTTGAGAGGCGTTGGATTCACCAGAGAGACACAGAAGTCTGTTCTGTGAACCTTGAAGTTTTCCCAAGTTTTTAAAGTTTGTTTTTGTCCAGGAAGAAAGCTGCTGTTGGAGGAGTTTGCTCAATTTATATATTTATATGTTGAAAAAACGGGAGGGGGGTCACTTACTAATAAGGATTTAACGATGCATCGTAAATCGGTTAAAAATATGCAAATACAAATGCGTAACAATTTGCATTAGTTGGAAAAATAAATGAAACACATCAAGGCGTAAGGGGTTGGTTGAGAAGAAAGTCACTGGTCATACCATGACACTACCCACTCTACTACAGTAGGTGGCAATATGCAGTTAAAAATGTTTGTTATGACCCACTTTTAAACCAATATGTGAGGTCCTTACATAGCCTAAGTGACATTCAGGTGTTAAAACAGAATGTAGGAAGAATTTGTTCCACAGACACCAACAGTGTTTTCCTGTAAAGGAACTCTTTCCAGTTCCTGTTTTTTCTCTTCTGTTGTTGTTTAATATATTGACAGTTAACCAGGTCAATCAGACCAGACCAGTTTGACTTTGAATCAGAGGAGATGAGTGGTGATGTGCAGTGTTTACGGAAAGAAATTTGACTTTTTTTCTTTTTTCTCTACAATTTCAGTTGATGAGGTTCACTTCAGGTGGTGAGTTCTGACAAAGAAAGGGTCGGTGGATTTGGTCAGTATTTGTCTGGAGATTTGGTTTAAAAAAATCGATGATTCATAGTATTGTGAGTTGAGTGTATCGTAACATCCCTATACGTCAGTGCGTTTTGTCTCCAGCATTTTTAAGGATTTCTGTGAGTTTTCAAGCAGCCATGTCTGTCTAAATCCCACTGTGACGGTGGTTTCTGCTGTGTTTCTGCTCCAGGGCATGTCACCAGGCAGCCACAGACACTTCAGAGGAGGATGGCGCCCCCACATTTTAATTCAAGTTGGCTGAGCACGCTTTCACTCAGGCCTGGCCACATGATTACCATTTATTCTTTTTTCATATGCATACCTATCCCTACTCGTGTGATTGTTGCCCCCTCCCCGCTTTTCTTTCCCAATGCACCTTGTGTGAAGCTGATAAACACCTGGATGGTTTACACACGTGATTCAAATTTCATTAAACGTCAAATTTCATGGCAGGTCTGCTGCAGGGTGAAGTGAGACTGTCTTTGAAAGAAAATCTGTGCAGAAAACACGCTTCAATCTGTGCTTTTTTGTGCACGCCGGCAGGTAATCTGCTCCTTGACCAATCAGAATGGAAATGGAGGAGCTGGGGAAAAGCACTCGCATAAAAAGACGCTCTCGCTTCACATTTTTGACAAAAACCTGAGTGAAAGCAGCAAAGGTGAAAGAAGTGCCTGAATGTTAATGGTAGTCACAGGAGTCGACGTGTTTTCACATTCACTAAAACAGCGTCAGTTTCAGAGTGCGTGGTTGTAAATACACGGCATTCAATGGATGGCAATGGAACTTTATAGGGACCTAAATGTGATTTGAATGAGCAGCACTGAGTGGAGGAAAGATGAAGTAAAAACTGAAGTACTGAGGTCTGACAATAACAGGTCCAACCGCATCGTGTCAATTGCAGCAGTTGGTGTGGCGTGAAATACAACGTGGTGTCACATTGAACAAATGATTCAATCACTGTCAAGCAGCAGGAACAAATCTGTCAAAACACTACACTGAACGGTAAAACTGCTCATTCATCAGTGTAAAAGACAATTCTGTGTATCACAGAACAAAAAAAAATCATACATTTAGGATTAATTATAATTTAACCTTTACATTTATTTGCAAACTAATCAGTGGCACATACCTTAAACATTAATTCAAAACAAAGTAAGAATTCCCCTTAAAGACACATTTACTTGTATTTGTTAAGAAAAAATAATAAAACATAGACACTGCAAAAAGTTAGTAGTGGCATGTTACACTTATTTATATGATTATGATTATATGAGAAGTGATGTTTTTAAATGTTCATACACACTGTGCCAGAGACCCCAGCTCAGTGTTTTCCAACATCTGTATCATGGCATGTTAGTCTGCTGTAAGAGGTCGTAATTGACCCAAAATTTCTATTTTTTACTAATAATTTAGTCCTCGTTCTACATTATAGTGACAGGCCAAACAATTAAATACTCTTCCACTGGGTGGCAGCAGATGACCATAAAAACAAAAAGAGAAAGAATCAGAGCTGTTAAAAAAGATCTTTCTTCAATTCCTGCCAGTACATTAGGGTTGTGTTCAACTAAACAGTTCTCTTTATTTATGGTACCTTCATGGAGAACATCTTCCACGTCCTGGCTACTGATGTTGACCTTTGCCCCTGTTGTTGTTTTATTGTGAACAGTAAGTACACCTGTGGGAACATTCAAAAAAGATGTTAGGATTAAAATGAGTTGCATTCTTTTTGTGCGCAGTGCTCACGAAGCACAAAAACAAACATGTGTGTGTCTGTGTGTGAGTAGTACCGTGCCTGTTTGTCAGCCTGTTTGTGTGCAATCAGATTTAATAAATGTCACAACAAAATTGCTATAATTGCTGTCAGTGTTGTTGCTGTGAGCGACTGATTGAGTCAGTGGACTAATAGACACTGATGAAGAAGTCAGTGATGAAGAAGGCAGCAGTGGAGCAGTGGACGTGGTCAGCAGCTTCCTGGACTACCCCACAGTTTAACAGACAAAAGATGTTAACGCCTCAAAGAAGCTCATTTTCCATTTTAGGACTGACCAAAAAGTCTCCACGGAATTAAACCAGTAAATAATATAATGACAAACCTCACTAATGTCAATTATGACAATGACAATCATCATATTTTCAGATTATATCCAGTGAGTACTTGTATTTGTATCTGTTTATAGTTTGTCAAGGAGGGTTGAGTGCTGTTGTTAAAATGTGCTGAGAACTGGCAACTGACAATATGAGAAGTATATAAACTGTTGGAGAAATAGGGAAAGTTACAGGACAGATGTCCTGGTCATGACGCACTAAGAAAACTTTCCAACGATAAGGCCCACGGTCGGTGAGCAGAGGTGTCCACTGACAACAGACAAGAAGAGTGTGTCACCCCGGGCAGCTTAGGGCGTCGGCTCTCCCGGAGCAGTGAAGACTCAACACGACCAAGGCCAAGAGACATGACTTCTAGACTCAACACACTGAAGGCCAAGAGACGTGACTTCTCCTCTTCTTCAACACCACCACAAGGCAATAGGGTCAGCACAGATTATACCGATAATGTCTCAGCACATTTATGTTTTATTAATTTACTATTTTATATTAGTTAAATCATATTTACCTGATTATTACAATGGCTGGAAACTGCTTATGTGCTGTGCCCTTTTCATTCTAATTAATAAAAT